GCACTTAGAGCTATGAACTTCCCTCTTAGGACTGCTTTTAAAGTGTCCCAGGGGTTTTGTTGTGTTGTACTGTTCTTTTCATTGAATTCCAGGAATTCTTTTCTTTCTTTCTTAATTTCTCCTTTGACCCACTCATTGTTTAGCAGTGTGTTGTTCAATCACCACAAGTTCGTGTAGTGACTAGGGCTTTGTCCAGTGTTGATTTTGAGCTTTATTGCATTGTAGTCTGATAGAATGCATGGGATTATTTCAGTATTTTTGTATTTATTGAGGTTTGTTTTGTGGCTCAGTATGTTATCAGTTTTTGAAAAAGTTCCATGGGGTGCTGAGTAGAAAGTGTATTCTTTGGTGCTTGGGTGGAATATTTGAAAGATGTCTGACATTTATTTTTTGTTTCCGTATGATGTATGGTATCATTTAATTCAGACGTCTCTTTGTTTATTCTTTGTCCAGTTGACCTGTCTAATGGAGACAGGGGGGTATTAAGTCCCCTACTATTACTGAGTTGGGCTTAATCTGTGTCTTAAAATCCTGTAGTGTTGTTTTTATGAATTCGTGTGCACTAGAGTTTGGTGCATGAGTTTGGTGCATATATATGTTAAGGGTTGTAATATCTTCTTGGTTAACTGTTCCTTTGATCAGAATGAAATGACCCTCCTATCTCTTCTGATTAGTTTTACTTTGACGTCTATTTTGTCAGATATTAGAATTGCAACCCCTGCTTGTTTCTTTGTGACATTTGCTTGGAATATTCTTTTCTATCCTTTTATCTTAAGGTAGTGCCTGTCCCTGAAGGTGAGATGGGTTTCTTGCAGACAGCAAAGAGATGGATTTTGTTTCTTAATCCATTCACTTAGCCTGTGTCTTTTGATTGGGAAGTTCAGTCCATTGACATTTAAGGTTATTATTGAAAGATGTGTATTGGTTGACATCATTTTGATTGCTGTTTGTGTTCTTTGTATAATTTTTTGTTTCCTAGATTATACCTTTATTTATTTATTTTGTTGCCCCTGGGGTATAGTTGTTTCTCTCTCTACTGTCTGTATTGCTTCAAGTATTCATTGGAGGGCTGGTTTTGTGGACAAATATTCTTTCAGGCTTTTCATGTCATGGAAGATTTTTCTTTCCCCCTCAACTATAATAGACATTTTTGCTGGATAAAGTATTCTGGGCTGGCATCTATTGTCATGTAGAACTGGAAATACCTTGGTCCAGGATCTTCTGGCTTTCATAGTTTGCACTGATAAGTCAGCTGTAATTCTGATGGGCTTTCCTTTGTATGTGACTTGTTTTTCTTTTACTGGTTTCAGTATTCTCTCTTTGTTCTGTACATTTAATGTTTTTACTATGCTATGTCGTGGGGAGTTTTGTGAACTTTTCCCACAGTGAAAAGGTTTTTGTTTTGTTCTTATCTTGAAGGTGACCATCTAAAAGTGATTTACTGTGGTTTTCATCTTAATGAAATTGGGGAAAATCACCATCTTAACAATATTGAGTCTTCTGATGGAAGGAGAGAACTGACTCCACAAAACTGTACTCGTCCCTCTGACCTCTGGACACATGCCTTGGCACACATGCACCCTCCCCATCATGTACACACACATAAAGCAAATAAAATTATATTTTTAAAAAGCACTGGGCTAGTGAGATGGCTCATTGGGTAAAGGCACATCCCAACAAGTCTGATCCCCAGATCTCACATGGTGGAAAGAGAGAAACAGCTCCTGCAAGTTGTCCTCTGACTTCCACCTGTGCTCTGTAGCACCTGCTAACCCACATATAAATACACACATACACACACAAAATAAATGTTTAAAAATATTTTTGTGTGTATGTTATGTGTATATGAATATTCACATGTGTGTTCATGTTTGTGAGGGTACACATGCATGTACGTGTATATGTGTGCATGTGGAGGCCAGCTATGAATATCGCGTGTCTTCCTTGATTACTCTTCACTTAATTTCTTGATGCATGATCTCTCACTGAACCTGGAGCTCTATGATTCAGCTATCCTAGCTAGTCAGCTTGCCCTGGGGATCCCCTATATTCACTTCCTGAGTCCTGGGTTTACAGGTGGGCCATCACATCCACCTGGCTTTTGTGTAGATGTTGGAGATCTGAACTCCAGTCCTCAAGATTGGGCATTAAGTCCTCTATCCACTGAGCCTTCTCCCCAGTGCCAGAATAAATTGTCTAAGAATAAAGTTAACAAAAGAAACATAAGACTGTCTCCTAAAGATTACAAAGTACTGGGAAGAGAAATTCAAGGAGATTTAAACAATATAAAGATATTCCATGCTTAAAGATATTACATGATTTGAAGACTTGGTATTAAGACAATGGTTCTCTGTGCAAATTGATCTGTACATTTAGTGTAAGCCTTTCAATTTCTGCAAAAAATGACAAGCTGACCATAAAATATGTGTGGAAAGGCAAAGGACTCAGAAGAGTCACAACAGTTTTGGGTTTGCTCTTCTTGATTTCAAAGCCACTTCATGATCTTAAGGCAGGGTGGTTCTGGCAAAAGGCTGGATCAACATCATTAGTCATCAGTGAAATCCATGTCAGCATCCCAGCAAGATACTGCATACCCACTCAAACATCTATAATCAAAAGGAGCCTCCATGCATTCCTGGTCAGAATAAAACGTAGTGAACCCAGTTTGGAAAACAGTGTGCCAGTTTCTTAAAAAAGTTAAACATAGTAGGCCAAGGAGATGACTCAGCATGTATGGGTGCTTGCCACCAAAACTGATCATTTAAGTTTGATCCCAGTACCCACATGGTGGAAAGACAGAACTAATTCCATGCATGCCAAATACATAAAATAAATAATGTAAAAAAATGTTTAACTTAAACATAGTTACCAGTGTCCCCCTAATTTCACTTATATTTATGTACCCAAGAGAAATAAAAACAAACATGTCCATATACAGATTTATATTCATAAAAAATTCATAATCACCCTAAAGTGGGAACTGTGGGAATGACTTTTATTAATGGACACAATGGACTAATGACTTTTTTTTTTTTTTTTTGGGTCTTTTTGAGAAAGGGTCTCCCTGTAACTCCAGCTGGCCTGGAACTCACTGTGTAGACCACGCTGGCCTCAAACTCACAGAAATCTGCCTGCCTCTGCCTCCCAAGTGCTGGGATTAAAGGGGTGCGACATCATGTCTGTCGAACTTTTAATTAACCATAGCAAAACCATGTGCTCTTGTGTCTTGTGACCTAAGCACCTGATTTCATTTATGAGCAACCTCAATTTGGTACTCCATCCAAAAAGATATGAATGAATGAACGAATGAATGAATGAATGAATGAATGTGGGTGTGCTTGAGAATTAACATTTCAAAGCACCAAGAGACTGTTGCCCCATCTCAACCCATGGATGAAAAGGCCAGATGGTCTGTTCAGATTAGGGTGGAGCCAAGCTTGTACTTTCCCCTTTGAAGCTGGAGAAACCATTTTGAATAAAATTCTGTGTGGGACCAGACTCAGGACACAATTCCAGGGACAGAGTCCCAGCAGGACAATTCCATTGGCACAGTACCAGGAAACAGACAAGTTCAGGCCTACTCTTGAAAACTAAATTTAAGACTTGGGCTTTTAGTTGTTCAGGTAATTATCCCAATGTTGGCATAGTAATACCCTAGGAAACAGCTCAGGCGTTATCTGCCATAGCCATACAGTGGAATACTAACTCAGCAGTAAGAAGGAACTGTTAACTGACTGTGTGTGGATGAACCTCACAGACATTATTCTAAGTAGAAGCCCAATGCAACAAAAGACCATGTTACGTGACTTTTATTTTTCTTTCTTTTCTTTTTTTTTTTCTTTTTTTTTTTTGAGACAGGGTCTCCCCATAGTCCCAACTGGCCTGGAACTCACAGAGATCTGCCTGCCTCTACCTCCTGAGTGCTGGGATTAAAGGCATGTGCTACCATGCCCAGCACTTTTTTTTGGTCTTTTTGAGTCAAAAAGACTGTAGACTCAATAAAGATCCACCTGCCACTGCCTCTGGCTCCTGAGTGCTGGGATTAAAGGCATGCACTACCATGCCTGGCCAGAAAAATAGTTTTTAAAAATTATTAAATTGCACATTTCAAGTTGGCGAAGTTGTAATGACTAAATTTTACCACAACCAGGCTTTCCGAAAAAAAAAAAGAAATGTGTTAGCCAAGCGTGGTGGCACATGCCTTTAATCCCAGCACTTGGGAAGCAGAGGCAGGTGGATCTTTGTGAGTTCAAGGCCAGCCTGGTCTACATAGTGAGTTCCAGGACAGCTGGGGCTACAAGGAGACCCTGTCTCAAAAAAAAACCAAAAAAAAAAAAAAATGTGTTACAGAGCCTGGTGTACATGCCTGTAATCCTAACACTCAAAAAGTAAAGACAGAAATACCAGAAGTTCAGGGTCATCCTACACCATACTGAAAATTTGAGGTCAACCTGGGCTACATGAGACCCTATCTCAAATAACAACAAAAATTAAGATAAAATGGAAAATATGAAATATGCAGTGTGCTGGAGCAGGATATTGGAGAAGATGCAGGGCACTGTTTAACGTGATTGTTGTTTGTGTTCCCAGTTTACAATTCCTGGATGAAAGAGCATGGAGGCTCCATTGTCAACATCATTGTCCTCATTAATAATGGATTTACATTAGCTGCGTATGTATTTTATATATTTTTTCTTCCTGTGCCTTTGGAGTTTGTCCTCTGAATTGAGAGATAATGACCAAAGAAAATGTCTTACATCAATGACTCATCCCTTTAATAAATTGTGATCCCAATCATTAGTATTTCCTTTTATTTGAACTTTTAAAATGTACTTCTTTTTAAGAATTTGTGTGTGCACGTATGTGGAGGCCAGGTATCTTTTGCAATCACTCTCCACCTTATTTTTTGAGACAAGGTGTCTCACTGAACCTGATTTGGTTAGGCTGCCCTAGCTAGCGAGTCCCAGGAATTCTCCTGTCTCTGTCTCCCCAGTGCTGGGGCCACAGGCATGCTGGAGATCTGAACCCAGGTCTTCAAACCTGTGCAGCAAGCACTTTTCCCACTGAGCCATCTCTCCAGCCCTTAAAAAATGTATTTCTAAAGCATGCTTACTCATATTAAAGTTGTCACATTTACTGAGGAATGAAAAAAACCAGGATGCTCAGTTAGTAATTTTTACTGTATGTAGGTCCTAAATATTGCATGGAGGCACACTCGTTCATTTATCTGAAATTCATGATAGCTGGAACACCTGTATCTTTTCTGTTACTAAACTGACCATTGCTGTGGGAAATGCTTTTTTGTTAAATTGTGGCTGTTAAATTCATCTGGATTAATTTAGATTTGAATACCATAAATATACCTATTTGATTTTAGGACTGCTAAACTGTGACTCAACAGAAACTGAGGTTTTTTGTTTGTCTGTTTGGATTTTTTGTCTTTTTGAACTCACAGAGATCCACCTGCCTCTGCCTTCCAAGTGCTGGGATTAAAGGTGTGCGCCACCATGCCTGGCAGAAACTGAGTTTTTACCCAAAATTTCTGAGGGATTGTACTTCTAAATAGCCGTTGTACACATAACGTAGAGATTTTGCTTCCTCTATGGAGATTTTAATGCCATGCTCGCCTCCTATTATTATTCAGGACTCCCTCAATTGTATAGTATATTGGTTACTTTTTGTTTGTGTAACCAAAATGCCTGACAGAAACAACTTAGAGGAGGATTTGTTTTGGCTCATGGTTTCAGGGGGTTCGCCATTACAGCAACCCAGGAAGCAGAGAAATGGGCATGCTGATTCTCAGCTGGGGTTTTCTTTTTTCTTAATCTTCATGGGATGGTTCTACCCATACTTAGGGATAGTTTTCCCCCTCCTTCTGCCCTGTGAATTCTCTCAGGAAACATCCTCACAGCATACCCTGAGGTAAGCCTCACTACTCCCCAGGTGTTTATTAACCCAGTCAAGCTGACAAGCAAAATTACCTGCTGCATATGAGATAGAAAGAAAATTCAGACTCATTCAGTGTTTCTCTGAAATGCTGTTTCTTGGCCAGCCATATCAGACTCACCTGGAGCCTGTCAGAACTGCACATTCTCCTGCTCCACCTGAGCTGTCATGTTAGGAACAGAGCCAGCAGGACGTATGCACAAGCCCCTGGATGTGGGTCCACACAGAACCACTGAGGTCAGCCTTCGGACTGAGAACTAGGGTTCACACCACTTGATACGGACTGAAAATGTACAAGTGGTGGTCCTCAAGTGGACATAAGGTGATTGTACCAGAAATGGAGCAAAGAATGTAGGCAAATGGCCTGCCTTTTCTTGCCCATTTTTCTTCTCTATTTACCTTTCCTGGGGTCTGGAAAGAAGCAGTCACTTTAGGTTGTGGGTTCTTTCTGGCATTTCCTATTCACATAGTCCACTATTTTTTAATTAATTTTTCTTTTATGTGTATGTTTTGCCTGTATGTCCATATGTGCACCACATGCATGCAATGCCCGCAGAGGCCAGAAGAGGGCATCGGAGCCTCTGGAACTGGAGTTAAGGATAGTTGTGAGCTGCCATGTGGGTACTGGGAGCTGAACCCACATCCTCTGCAAGAGCAGCCAGTGCAGTTAACCGCTGAACAAAATTTCCATTCCCCTAAATTTGTCTTCTTGAATTTGGCTTATTTAGCTTAATATGATGACCTTCAGTTGCATCCATTTTTCAGGAAATAACATAATTCAATTCTTTTTATTTTATGTGTATGCATGTATTGCCTGCATGTAGGTAAGTGCACCCGTGTCGTGCAATGCCTGCAGAAGACAGAAGAGGCTGTTGGATCCCCTGGTACTGGAGTTACAGACAGTTGTTAGCTGCCATGTGGGTGCTGGGATTCGAACCTGGGACTTCTGCAAGAATAGCCAGTGTTCTTAACCACTGAGCCATCTCTCCAGCCCCCATTCTTTTTTTTTTAATTCAATGGAAATAGTTAAATGTGTAGAAATGTGCAAAAACAATACCACAACATTTGATGAAGACTGTAAATCTATGGCTCTAAGAAGCTGAGCAGACATCACGTATAGAAACACGAAGGAACACACTCAAGATGTATCATAAGTCATGTTGATGAATAGAAAAATCTTAAAGCAGCCAGAGGGAAAAGACAGTCTGCACAGAAGCAGATTTCTGTGGGAAGTAATGCAAAGTAGGAAACATGAAATAAACATTTGACACAGAGTCTCACTCTGTAGACTAGGCTAGCCTGGAACTCTATGTATTCCAGTTGGCCTCACAGCAATCCTCCCACTTCACCCTAAACTCTGGGGTTACGTACATGACTCACCATGCCTGGCTTGGAGTAACCTGGCTAAGTACTGATGGAAAACAACTTGCCAGCCTGGAATTCGTTATTCAGTGAAATATCTATTGAAGGAGGGAAAAAAGATGAAATAAAATTTTTTTCACTTAGAAAGAATTCATCATCTGACATGCAGGGCTAAAAGTCAAAGTAAATCCTACAGGAAGCATTTATTACCAAATCTGTCTTTGCCTGGCTAATTTCGGGTGCTTTTGGATAGGTTGTTTTCTTAGCTCTGTTTGTTAATTTTTCCACATTAAACCATCCTGTACTTGGTTCTGAAGATCCTGTACACAGACAGTCCGAGTCACATTGTCTCTATGTTTCTTTTTGTTTGTTTTGTGTGTGTGTGTGTGTGGGAATGGTTTTTCTGGGCATGCCTCCTGTCTTACCTAACCTTATAGCCAAAGTTAATCTTAGGTTTTGAAATCACCTAACACTGTCTATTCAATTCATTCTGCCTTCCTGCTGTAGAATTAGCTTATGTAAATCTAGGTAGCCTTTGGGAAAACAATGTGAACAATCTTATTAGGCCTTGGGTGAGGACTGTAACCAAGTTTGTAAACTAAGCTAATCAAATAGCTTTAATCTTAGGTTATGTTCCCTATTTCTCCCTCATGACCCTTCTGTGCCCCTGGTCCAGAACTCTGTGTGTGTGTGTGTGTGTGTGTGTGTGTGTGTGTGTGTGTGTGTGTATGTGTGTATGTGTGATGAAAATACCATTACTGAAAGCAGCAATGTTGAAATCAACAAACCCTATCCCCAGTTTATGTTGCAAACAACAGGTTGGAATAGATTGATAATATCTGTTTGTGGTTTTTTTATGCTGTTATGGATCAGTAGCGGGGTCCAAAAGGATGAGGCAAGATTCCTCATTTCTTTCTCTTGTCATGCTGGATGTACTGTTTAAATGAAGAAGGTTCCATACAAATCAGAAGGAACACGTTTTGAGACTAGATTGGGCTCACCCTTGGTTTTAAAAGACTCCTGTCTTTGTTCAGGCACTGCCACATTACGGCATCTCCACCGCATTGTCTGTTTGTTTTGAGACAGCATTAACTTGCCATGTAGCTGATGGCCATCCCACCATGCACCACCATACTGGATTTTATGTGATGCTGGGGATAGAACCCCGGACTTTGTGCATGCTAGGAAGTACCAACTGAGCTACACCTCCGGCCCACCTCTACCTTGCCATGAGACTCTGAACAGATGTAGACTAAATCTTTTGAAACTTTTATTTGGAATAGAGTAGAATTCACTTAAATTTTGATATGTCTAGAAATTCTATTGATAATATTTCTAGGAGTGGGAGAGATGGCTCAGCAGTTAAGAACTCACATATCGCTTGCTCTTGTAGAGGACCCAAGTTTGGTTCCCAGCATCCATGTAACTCCAATTCCTCAAGGATCTAACACTTCTGGCCTCCATGGGCATCTACACTCACACACACACACACACACACACACACACACACACACACACACTCACATAATTTAAAAATAATAAAAAGATAAAGACTGGGTATGGTACACATGCCTTTAATTTCAGCACTCAGGAGATAGAGGCAGGTGGATCTCTGAGTTTGAGGCAAACCTGGTTTACAGCTAACAACTGTCTGTATCTCCAGTTCCAGGGGATCCGATGGCCTCTTCTGTCCTCTGCCGGCATTGCACGACATGAGTGCACTTACCTACATGCAGGCCTAACACTCATACACATAAAATAAAATAATATATATATTTTTAATTACCAGCTTGGGGCTAGGGAGGTGGCTCAGCAGTCAAGAGCACTGGCCGCTTTTGCAGAGGACCCAAATTCAAGTCTCAGTACCCACATGGCAGTTAACAACCATCTGTAACTCCAGTTCCAGGGAATCCAGTGCCCTCTCCTGACCTCTGTGGGCATTGCACGACATGGGTACATTTACATACATGCAGGCAAAATACTCATACACATAAAATAAAAACAATAAATAAAATATTAAAAATAAATAAAATTACTAGTTTGGGGCCAGCAAGATGGCTCAACAGGTAAAGACACTTGCCACCAAGCCCGATGGCAAGTTCGATTCCTGGAGCTCACATGGTGGAAGAAGAGAACTGACTCCTGCAAGTTGTCCTCGACCTCCACACATTTACTGCTGCATGTGTGCACTATCCCCCAACACACATGCATCAGATAAATAAGTCTAAAAAAATTATCAATTTGTTTTTTCCTATAATAAAAGATTCGTCAGCATATTCCTCTCGTGCATACGGTGATTTGGGGGGCACAGCTTATGCCATGTGGGATGTGTTTGATAACTGTGGATTGACTTTGACATTGAAGGACCCAGATTTTTTAAAATATTTTTTATTATTTTTATTTTATGTGTATATGTGTATTGCCTGCGTGTAGGTAAGTGCATCCGTGTTGTGCAGTGCCTTGGTGGACAGAAGAGGCTGTCAGATCCCCTGGAACTGGAGTTACAGAAAGTTGTTAGCTGCCATGTGGGTGCTGGGATTTGAACCCAGGTCTTTTGCAAGAACAACCAGTGTTCTTAACCACTAAGCCATCTCTCCAGCCCCCAAAATATTTATTATTTTTATTTTTATGTATATGAGTGTATTGCCTGCATGTATATAAGTGCACCCATGTCATGCAATGCCCATGGAGGTCAGAAGAGGGTGTCAGATTCCCCTGGAACTGGAGTTATGAACTATTATTAGCTGCCATGTGAGTGCTGGGAATTGAACCCAGGTCCTCTGCAAGAGCCACCTGGTGCTCTTAACCACTGAGCCATCTCTCCAGCTCCAGATTTTTAGACAGAGGTTCAACATGACAGAGACTCATAACAAGAATTATTTTTGTGAAGTTCTTAGATCATTGGTGCACTTGTTAACTTTGTTAAAGAGAAAAGTACTCAACAGAAGCTAATTATAATGTTTCTATTTTGTCTTTAAAGGCATAGTGGAGCTGCAAGAGAAGGTGTTTACAACCTCACCAAATCCATGGCTTTGGCTTGGGCCAGCAGTGGAGTGAGGATCAATTGTGTTGCTCCAGTAAGTAATGTTATCTGTGAACTCTGTTGACAAATTGGGTTCTGATTCCATTTGCTGATAACTGTGTCATTGATGACAAGATAAGTAGAACATATTAACTAATATGTAAATATAATATAAAAGATTGACTTTTAAAGCGGGCATGGTGGCTCACACCTTTGATCTCAGCATTTGGGAGGCAGAGGCAGGCAGATTTCTGTGAGATCTAGGCCAGCCTGGTCTATATAGTGAGTTCCAGGCCAGCTGAGGCTACTGGGAGACCCTATCTCAAAAAGACCAAAAAATAAAATAAAAAAGATTGACTTTTAGATTAATTAGAAAGTCAATTATGCATTTTAGTAGTATTCTTTGATTGTTAATGAGATAGCAATTCTCAGTCGTGACTATACCTTAATATATTATGTGCGAAATAATAATGATATATAAACTTTAAATTATGGATTGTATGTACTTTCATTTTAAAAAGCAGTCCAGAAAATTCCATTACAGAGTGAGGTTAAGAAATAGTGCTTTGGGGGCTGGAGAGATGGCTCAGTGGGTCAAGTGCTTGCTGTTCATGACTGAAGACCTGAGTATAGATCCCCAGCACACACAAAAAAGGTTGGACACAGTGGCATATGCCTGTAACTCCAGCACTGAGGGAGATCCCTGGCCAGCCAGCCAGCCTAGCCATAACAAGCTCCAGGTTCAATGAGGAGTGCTGTCTCCAAACTGACCAACTAAACAAATATAAATAGGATGTGGGGACTGAAAAGATGGCTCAGTGGTTAAGAGCACTTGTTACTTAGGAGCCCACGCCTCCGTAGTACCCTGCTAGCGAGCCCAGTGACTGGTGACAGACTGCGTGGTGCAGACCAATCAGAAAACGATACTCTGACTAAAGGGACTTGGGGCGGAGAAAAGGGAAATGCCCCTTTAATGCCCTCTCCTGCATTAAACGAGCTTGCAGCACCTCGCCTAGTGCTTGCTTCTACCCGACTCCTGGGGTCTGTGTGTTGACTCTGCGCCTCTTGTCCCCCCTAATCAGAAGGGGACCCAATCAGTCTAGGTCAGGGTCTTCACAGCTGGCCTGAGGAGAACCTACAACAACTTTAAAACAATTTTTTAGGCAGAGTCTCACTATGTAGCTCTGGCTGGCCTGGAACTCACAGAGATCCACTTGCCTCTGCTTCCTTACTGCTGGGATTAACAGCGTGCATTACATCCCCTGCTGTACTTGCTACTCTTACAGAGGACCCAGGTTTGGTTCCCAACATGCACTTGGGGGTTCACTACTCTCTTGTCACTCTAGTTCCAGGGGTCCAACACTCTCTTTGGGCTTCCACAGGCACCATGCATTCAATGTGGTGGGGATGTACATTCAGGCAGGCAAATTCTCATATACGTAAGATAAATAAATTAAAACAAAATAAGGAGAGCTATAGGGAAAGACCTCCAACATTGACCTCTTGTCTCTACACGTGCATGTATTGTTGAGCACACTCCCACACATGTACACACTCACATACAATATGTACACAAAAGAAACAGTACTTCAAAGATGAATTTTTTTCCTGTGATTTTGGTTTTTTCTTGGTTGTCCTTTATTAGGGAAGAAGCTGAATCTTAGAGTTCAGAGGGAAAATCCCAGTTAAAGATCAACCACAAGTCAAAAGAAAATTTCTCTGTGTTTTGATGTCATACTGTACGTACAATATAGGCATCTTCAAAATTAACTTTCTTCTTGTTTTGTGCATGTGGTGTATGTGTTTGTGTGTACATGTGGATGGAGGCCAGAGGTCAATGTGGAGTGTCTTCCTTAGTCACTCTCTACCTTAGTTCTTAGAATCTCTGTTGAACCTGGAGCTCACCAATTTGGCTAGACAGGCCAGTCATCAAGCTCCAGGGATCTGCCTATCTCCACCCCAGTGCTAAGGTTGCAGAAGCATCTGCCTCACCTAGTTGTATGCGGTGCTGAGCCTCATTCAAATGGTTCGCTTGTGGATAGTAGTTAACTAGACCCCTTTGACAGGCTAGAGAAAAATTGATTTAGAAATGTTAAGACATTCAGTTTTTGTTCTTGGTCAGTGAACTACCTAGGTGTCTTGTTTGCTGTTTTGGTGCTAGGAATGGAGCTCAGCCCTTGGTATCTTTATGATTTAATTTTAACTTTATCCACTTTATCTTCTTCCTCTCTTATTTTCTAACATAGGGAACCATTTATTCCCAGACTGCTGCTGACAACTATGGTGATATGGGACAAAGCATGTTTGAAGGTGCCTTTGAGAATATCCCAGCTAAACGACTTGGAGTTCCTGAAGAGGTGATGTATATTTCTAGTGTTGATGCGAATGACTTCAAAAATGTGTAACCTCTGGCGCCTGGCCTCGTGGCCTGCTTGGCTAGTAGAGATTACTTTTCCATTGCCACCAGGCCACGTCTTCCTGTACTTTCTGCTCTGGGGAATATCTCAGTTGCTTTGACTACTAATAGCAGAATTTATTCAGGAATGAAGGCAGTGAGAATCAAAAACATCATATTCTGTTGCTTCACGTTACTTTTCAGCTACATTATTCTATCACGTGCAATGTCTGGTACCTAAAACCCTAAGCAAGGCAGATAATTATGGACAAATGAGTGACCATATAGGATTGAAGTACGTAAAAATCATAGCTTTTTCAGTGGCTCTAATTGGGGTGAGATAGCTTAAGACCACAGTGAACAGAGAAATTCCTCAGTGGATTCAATTTTATTAAAAAGTCAAGTTTCAAAGTTTCAGGGGCTGGCAAGATGGCTCAGGGGGCAAAGGATTGATCCGTGAAACCCACATATTAGACAGAATCAACTTCCACAAGTTATCTTCTGACTTCCACATACACACCATGGCACACACACCCATCTACCCCCACATAAAAAAATCTTAAAACTTAAAGATTTTATTTTTAATTTTTAATCATGTACATATGTGTGTGTATGTAGGTGGGCTTGTGTCCATGAATACAGTGCCTGTGGAAGCCAGAAGAGAGTATCAGATCCCCTGGAGTTGTAGTTACAGGTGGCTGTAAGCTACTTGATGTGGGTGCTGGGAACTGAGCTCAGGTCTTGTGTGAGGGCAGTACATGTTCCTAACCATTGAGCAATCTCTCTAGCCCCATTTTTTTAAATTTAAAAATGAAAGTCTGTTTTCCTAAATTAATCTATAAATTTAATATATATTTTTAATTATGTATGTTTCTCTTATGTTTATGAATGTTTTGCCTGCTTGTATGTAAGTGCACTGCATCCCTGCAATGCCCATAGAGTCCAGAAGAGGGCGTTAATTCACCAGGAGCTTGAGTTACAGAAGGTTGTTAGCCACCATGTGGGTGCTGAGATCTGAACCCAGGTCTTCTGCAAGAGCAGCCAGTGCTCTTAACTGCTGAGCCATCTCTCCAGCCCCTCTGGTTCTCATTTGCTTCTTGTTTACTCTGTTATAATCTGTTATTTTGGCTAAAGCATAGGACGAAAATCTGGCTTCCTACAGAAGCTGGAAAAGAGAATATCTTGATAGCCTTTCCCGATAATGTGCTATCCTTTTTTAATACTCAATAAATGATATGGTTTGTGTTGTTTTGTTGTTGGTTGGTTTTGTGACAAGGTCTCATGTATCCCAGACTGGCCCTGATTTGTTATGTAGCTAAGGATGACCCTGAACTTCTGATCCTCCTGTCTCCATCTCCTGAGTGTTGGGATTGCATATGTCACCATACCTGGTTTATTTGATTGTGGGGATTGAACCCAGGGCTTTGCATATGCTACGCAAGCAGTCCACCAGCTGAGCTACAGCCCTAGCCCTGAGTGTCTTTAAAATTAATTGTAGTGTGAAATCTGACACCCTATCAGTTAACTTTCTGTACACTGTTACTTGAACTCATATTATATATATATATATATATATATATATATATAATTTTGTAATATCAGGCATTGGTCTTTTGGAAAATACTAGGTCACTGAAACATGCAGAATCAAGTGGTGAAACATAATTCATTGTGCCATATCAAAAGATCACATTTCTTAATATTTCCATCCAGCTTTAAGTCTTTGAGTATTAGCAACCTGATAAGCTTACAAGTACAAGCTTTCCAAATTGTATTTTTACTTGAAAGCTTAATTTTTATCATTGGCAATAAATACTGTCAGTTGTTTTCCTTTGAAGTGATAGTCTTACTCTCTTCATTTTTTTAAATATGCCTGCTTGGGGTGGCGGGGCTTGTTGGGAAGAAGAGGGGGTTTAGCCAGGAGTAAGAGGGAAATGAGAGGGTAATGGGGGAAGAGACCAAAATTCATTATATACATGTATGAAATTATCAAATAAAACTGTATGGCTGGAGTGGTGGCTCAGGGGTTAAGAGTACTGGATGCTGTTACTGAGGACCCAGGTTCGATTCCCAGCACTCACATGGCAGCTAACACCCATCCCTAACTCCAGTTCCAGGGGATCTAACACCCTCCTCTGACCTCCCTGGGCATTGCACAACACAGGTGTACTTACATACATGCAGGCAATACACTCATACACACATAATTTTTTTTAATCTAAATGAATTCATGAAAAAAAAAACTTGCTAAAAACCATTTAACTGCATCCAGTCATTTTAGAATGTCAAGTGTGCTGGATAGCCTTAGTGTCAGCTTGACACACCTGGGTTGAGGGAGCCTCAATTCAGGAATTGCCTCCATTGGACTGGCCTGTGGCCATGTCTGTGTGGCATCTTCCTGATTTTTGAGTGATGTGGGAGGGCCCAGCCCACTGTGGGTGGTGCCACCCCTGGGCAGGTTGTTCTTTATTGTATAGGAAAGCAGGTTGCGCAGGGGCCAGGGGAGCAAGCCAGTAAGCAGCATTCCTCCATGGCCTGTGCTCCAGCTCCTGCCTCTAGCTTCCTGCCCTAAGTTCCTACCTTGGGCTCCCTGATGAACTGTGTGACCTGGGAGATGTAAGCTGAATAAACCCTTTCCTCCCCATGTTGGTGTTGGTCAGACTGTTTTGTCACAGCAATGGAGAAACAAACTAGGACATCGAGTAAAATTGGGGGCTCAGTGATTAAAAGCACATACTGTTCTTGCAGAGGACCCAAGTTTGGTTCCCAGTACCCATATTGAGCACCTCACAACCATCTGTAACACCATCTCTAGGGATCTAATGTCCTCTTCTGGACTCTGGGCTCCTGTACTCACATGTGCACATACCCACACATACATACACACAAAAATAAAAAATACAGCCAGGTATGGTGATGTACACCTTTAGTCCCAGCCCTCGAGAGGCAGAGGCAGGCAGATATCTGTGAGTTCAAGGCCAGCCTGGTCTACATAGTGAGTTCCAGGACAGCTGGGGCTACAGGGAGACCCTGACTCAAAAAGACCAAAAAAAAAAAAAAAAAATCTTTACTGCTTCATCAAAGACATGCCAAAGTGAAACTGCCCCGCCCCTACTCCCATGAGTATCTGTGGGCCAGAAGATTGTGGCTTCTGGTACCTTGACTAATACAGTTTTATACTCTTAAAAATATTTTTTGCACTATTTTTTGGAGAGGGGGTGTGTATGTGTGACAGGGCTCAAGTATGGAGGTATGGAAGTCAGAGGCTAACTCTCAGGAGTTGGTCCTCTCCTTGTACCATGTGGTGTCTGGAAATCAGTGACAGGTCATTCATCAGACTCAGCCACAGGCACTTGGCCAGCTGAGCCATCTCACTGGCCCGTTTTGTATTCTTGCTGTGACTCACACTGAGGCTCCATCAGTTTCTACCATCTTTTTTTTTTTTTTTTTTTTTTGAGACAGGGTCTTCCTGTAGCCCCATCTGACCTAGAATTCACTATGTAGACCAGGCTGGCCTTGAACTCACAGAGATCCACCTGCCTCTGCCTCCTGAGAGCTGGGATTAAAGGCCTGCGCTACCATGCCTACCTCCCCCATCATTGCTTTGGCACCATAAATAAAATGTCAACACAGTGAACAAGACAAGTTAGGATTTAATATTCCTATGAAAATAGTTTTGACCTTTAAAATCCCCTGAAAAGGTCTTAGGTGTACAGCCAATCACACTTTGACAACTCCTGATGTAGGTGATCCTTTAAAGACTTTGGAAGGAGAGAAAATGGTAGCTACAACAAGATACACAATGAGGGGAACTTTATGGCCGATTATAGCTGGGTCTACAAGCCAGGTGAGACTGCTGGCCTGTTTGTTTATGTTGTGTGTGGGGGGGGTCAATGCAGATGTGTATGTGCTACGGTGTGGAGGATAGAGGACAACCTCCAGAGTGGGTTCTCTCCTTCCACCGTGGGATCTGATGAGTGTCAAGTCAGACTTGCATAGCAAAGCACTTTTACCAGATGAGCCATGCTGCCAGCCTATCAATGAGTTTTTTCACTTAAGTGTCAGTCCCTGGTGGGAGAGCCAAGAGGTCATGTGTTCAGGATCATCACCCTTTGTCAAACTCTGCTTCTGTTTCTTTATGACCAGTGGAATGAATTCTGCCTGGTTTAGGGAGATGTTCTCAAAAACCTCAGCAGGTAACTAAGTTTTTAGGAATGTGGTGGGACTCTGAAGTCCCTCTTGTGAAAAGCTGCTGTGATCTGCCCTGCTGTGTCTTTGACCTGACAAGATGATGGACTGAACCAATCAGAATGCCAATGCGTTGCTACACAGGCACACGGACTATATCTGGAACCAAGATGTAAGATGCCCAGGATGACAGATGTGGTTGTGGCAGACAAGCAGGAGCTATGGAAGGGAGAAGACTGTTGAAGTGGGAAAGTGCTGAGACTTGAGACTTGTACTGTGTTTGCTTTGGGCTTCTGCACATGGTGCTGCTTGACTGACATTTTCTAAGGCTTCTTCACCACCTTCTTGCCACCTGTACCCTAATAACTTACCAGACTTCAATGTTGCCAGAATAGTAAGAGGCCATTGTCTGTACATGGCTCACATGGAATGGATGTAGGATTCACAACACAGTTCTGTAGTTTGAGATGTGGTGATTCCGGAATGTGCAGTCACAGGAATGGACTCTTAAAAATTTTAAATTGTTCCTCTTAAAATTTTACTCACAGGGCTGGAGAGATGGCTCAGCGGTTAAGAGCACTGGCTGTTCTTGCAGAGGACCTGGGTTTAGTTCCCAGCACCCACATGTTGGCTAACCGTTCATAACTCCAGTTCCAGGGGATCCAATGCCCTCTTCTGACTTCCAAGGGCATTGCACAACACGGGCGCACTTACACGCATACACAATAAATAAAAATAATAAATAAAAAATTTTTTATTTACTCACTTATTTTAGCCTTTCTCTTGGGCATGTGTCTCCAGGTCTCCTCCCTCGTGTGCTTCCTACTGTCCCCTGCTGCTTCCTTCATCACTGGGCAGTTGGTGAACGTGGATGGGGGCCAGTCTCTGTACACTCATTCATACCACATACCAGGTAAGCAGCCAGCAATTGAAGCATCACTAGCTTTTGACCTGTTCATGTTCAGTTTCTAAAGTGGCTCCTTCAGAGGTGGAGGTTTTCTCTTACAGGACATCAAAAAGTGTGAAATGTTTATATTCATGATACGGTTTTAAAGAAAATGTTCTCAGTTGCAGAAAATATCTAAATTGTTGATTAAAAAGACTGGGAGGCTGGAGAGATGGCTTAGCAGTTAAGAGCCCTGACCACTCTTGCAGAAGACCCCAGTTCAATTCCAAGCACCCACATGGTGGCTATGAACCGTCCTTAGCTCCAGTTCCAGGGAAATCTGAAGTCTTCTGACTTCCGTGGCATTGCATGACATGGGTGCACTCACGTACATGCAGGCAATACAGTCATACACATAAAATAAAAATAATAAATAGAATATTTAAAAAAAAGACTGATAGAGGCAAAAGCTTGCTGAATATTTAAGGGTCAAAGATTTCATTCCTCTTTCCTCCCAATAAGTGTTTTGCATATCTGAAAGAATAACCAGCTCTGCCAGGTAGGATGGAGTAGTGTGTTGTCCTGCCTTGTCCTTTCTTTGAAATATACGTTGAGTGAAATAATATGAAACTTCTCTATACAACCAATTTTTTTCTTTATAAAAGCAGTATTTTTATTTTCATTTTTGATTTTGATTTTGAGACAATCTCATTATATAGCCCAGGCTGGTCATAGCCTCCTGAGTGCTAGGATTATAGGCCTGTGCCTATAACACTATTAACACTTGGCTTGAAAACAGCACTTTTATAAGCTCAACCCAGTAACAGTATTATACACAAATGTGTGTGAATGTTTATCTCATGGCTAGACCAAAGACTTTTGAGGCTGGAAGGATCTTATAAAATCAGATAGTCCAATGTCCTAATTTTACAAGTGACAAACAAAGTCTACAGAAATTAAAAGGTATGCCAAGTTCTGAGCATGTAGCTTAGTTGGTAGAGTATTTGTCTAGCATACATAAACCTCTGGATTAATCCACAACACCCCATAAAACTAGGAATGGTGTTGCATACCTGTAATCTTAGCACTCCGGGGGGAAGTAGGAGGAGGATCAAAAGTGCAGGGTCACCCTCAGCTACATACCAAGTTTGAGAGCAACCTGGGATACATAGACCCTGAGTATATATAATAAATAAATAAATAAATAATGTAAAAAAAACAAACAAACAGAAAACATAAACACAAATATGCTTGACCTCTTTCTAAAGACAGTTACTAAGTGGCTACTAGTAAATTAATGTGTGATTCACAAAACTCCCATTTGTACATTTGAATTTTATATAAAGATCCCAACTTCAACCTATTTCTGTGCCAACAGTCTGGCCAAAGTGAAAGGCTTCCCCTGAACTAATGATTAGTATAGAATCTTAATTTTATTTATTTTCCCAATCTTGTAGACTATCTACTAACATTGTTGTGGTGGTATCTCTAAGATGTCATTACTATAAAGACCTCAGTTGCAAAGACAAGTAGGCATGCCTACTTGGCCATGCAATATTGTTTCAAAAGAAAATAATGAAGAAAAGAGCCTTTCCCTTCATCTCATTATGAGTCAGTATTGTTTACTGCAAGTTGCACTGCTTTTCCTTTTTTCAAAAGGAAAGAATCGGGGGCTGGAGAGATGGGTCAACGGTTAAGAACACTAACTGTTCTTGCAGAAGACCCGGGTTCAAATCCCAGCACCCACATGGCAGCTAACAATTGTCTGTAACTCCAGTTCCAAGATAACTGACAGCCTCCTCTGTCCTCTGCGGGCATTGTACAACACAGGTGCACTTACCTACATGCAGGCAATACATGCATACACATAAAATAAAAATAATAAATAAAATATTTTTTTTAAAAAGGGAAAAAAATCCCAGCACTCAGGAGGCTGAGGCAGGTGGATCTCTGTGAGATCGAGGCCAGCCTGTTTGCCTGTCTACATGGTGAGTTCTAGGCCAGGTGGGGGCTACAGGGAGACCCTGTCTCAAAAAGACAAAAAAAAGGGGGGAAAGAGAAGGAAGAAATTCAGGATCAATATTTTTCCATGTTTCCAGTAAAATGAATTTGTTCTGTAACTAATACAATGCTGATCATACAAAATACTCTTTTAGGGTTTTTATATTTTTTAATTACATTTAGTATTCATGTGTGAGTGTGCATGCGTGTGTGCGTGCGTGTGCGTGCATGTGTGCGTGTACATGTGCCATACCATGCATGTGGAAGTCAGAGGGCAACTTATGGGAATGAATTTTCTCCTTCCATCATATAGGTCCCAGGGATTAAACTCAAGTTATCAGGCTTTGTAATAAACACTTAGCTGATGAGCCTCTTGAAGCTTTTGAGGAAAGTAGCCACATCTACCTTATAAAAATACCATGGTCCCCAAATATTGGCCAGTGGTTTCCAGCCTTTCAAGGTGGTGTTTAATATTACCAGCTCTAAGGGCCAGGCATGCTAGTTAGTATATGCCTGTCATCTAAGCACTCAGAAGATTTAGGCAGAAGAATCAAGAGTTCAAGGCCAGCCTGGGCTACAGAGTAAGACCCTGTCTCAAAAAAGAAAAAAAAAAGGTGGGAGGCTGGAGAGATGGCTTAGCAGTTAAGAGAACTGGCTGCTCTTGCAGAGGACCCAGGTTCGATTCCCAGCACCCACATGGCAGCTAACGACCATCCATAACTCCAGTCACACCCTTTTCTGACCTTCAATGATACTGCACAACATGGGTGCATTATACATGCAGGTAATACACTCATACACATTAAAAAAAAACAAAAAAACAGGCTGGAGAGATGGCTCAGCAGTTAAGAACACTGGTTGTTCTTGCAGAAGACCCGGGTTTGAATCCCAGCACCCACATGGCAGCTAACAACTGTCCATAACTCTAGTCCCAGGATATCCGACAGCCTCTTCTGACCTCCTCAGGCATTGCATGACACAGGCGCACTTACCTACATGCAGGCAATACACACAAACACGTAAATTTTTAAAAAAGAGAAAAAATGATTGTGTACTGTGGAGGGTGCCTGAGGCAGAAGCCTGGCTCTGCCCTTCTCCATGGTATGACTGAGGGAAGCAATTTGTGTAAGCCTCTGTTTTCTGTAATGCTAGGGCACAGAAAGAATTCATTTCCTGGGCCTTCAGGAGCCTTAAGTAGATTACACTTGATGTCAAGCCCTGGTTGGCATAGGTTACTTGTCTGCAATTCCATAGAGGAAGTTGTTGGCTCATTACAGGAAGGCAGGTGAGACTTGTCTGGGTAGCTGTGGGGTCTTGTCAAAGACAGTCTTGTCTTTCCTATTTTTTTTTTTTCCCATGAATCCAGCTTCCTCTTAAATAGCCTTCCTGGCTTTCCTGGTTGCAAGATGGCAGCCTGACGCTTAAGACTATATGATTCACTCTGTCCACATTCAGCCAGGACAGGAACAGGACTTTGTCTCAGCGTTTGTTACAGTTCTGAAGTCTGCTCTGTATCGGACCGGTTCAAATAGATGCTCATCCTCAACCAATAACCGCAAGCAGGGGGATGGGAGGCACTGACAGCTTACCTCACAGGCTCCCCAAAGCCCTTACTTCCCTGACCCTCATAGATTCTCCCATGGAAACCCAGGCTATTGGAGAGAGGAAATGGGGATGGGATGCCAGGAGGCATCTTTCCATGCCTGGTGCAAAGTTAATACATCATTTCAATATTATTGAGAAGCTCCACTGTTGAATGCAGTATGCTATGGGCCGTCTAGATGTTGTCACATTTAACTCTCCCCAATTTAATTTAATCATTACTCCCTTCAGTACACAGGAAGACTGAGGCTCCTAAAGAGTAGTTTCCCCAAACTGAGAAAAGCTGGTGAGTGGCAGACCTGGGATTTGCATGTAGGGATTTTTTTTTTCTTCTTTTTGGTCTTTTTGAGACAGGGACTCCCTGTCGCCCCAGCTAACCTGGAACTCACTATGTAGACCAAGCTGGCCTTGAACTCACAGAGATCTGCCTGCCTCTGCCTCCCGAGTGCTGGGATTAAAGGCATGCGCCACCACGCCCGGCACATGCACGGATTTTTACAAAACCATTAATCCTCAGGATTCTTTCTCCTTGCCTAAGGAAGCTAGAAAAAAAACCTCAAGGCTTGAGTAGAAACTAAGACAGTCAGGTTAACAGATTTTCAAGTGACACGAGGTTTTTTCCCACCAACTAAACAGATCATGACAACTGGCCTGTGGGAGTCGGAGACTCTTCTATTGTCAGGAGGATGAAGGAATCTTTTAAACAGAAGGCCAACCTCTAAGCCAAGGAAACAACCACCTGTCTTGTTCCTGAGTGCCTTGACATCTTTGGAATGTTCTTCTGTGCTTCACAAGAGCTTACAATTTCTGTGCAGGTCAAAAATCATTTTTAATGTTATCAGTTAGATCTATGCAAAAACTACTCCCCAAATAAGTGCAGCTTTATGTCCAAACCAATATCTTTTAACTTGTAATTTTTTTTGTAAAGAGCAGAGATTAATGTATTTAAATGACTATTCTTATTTCCAAGAGAGATATTTGAAAAAATTGAAATAACTGAAAACTACTAAGGATCACAGCTGGGTGTGGTGGGACAAGCCTTTATTCTTAGCACTCAGGAGGTGGAGGCAGGAGATTAGGAATTCAAGGTCATCTGCATAGCAAGATCAAAAATCTCAAAGGGCTTTATGATTGAATTACAAAAATGGGGACATTTTGTGGCATAATTATGATTATTACAACTAGAGTTATATGCTGACTTATTTTTGGTGGTAGATACTTTTGGATCAATAAAGCTCTATGGTAATTATCAATTTGTAGTTCCTTTTGTTCATAAACTCAAAGATGTATGCACCTTAAGCCGCTGCCTGTGAAATGTGTGGCATAGGATGCAATCAGTGGTTCCATATCAGACAGCGCTCCTGCTTCTTCCTGGTGAGGGAGTGGTTCCCAGGTGGGATGCTATGTCCCACAGGATGCTATACCCATGAGGCTTTCTTTCAGCCCCCAGACAGTGACGGTGCTGGTTCCCTGTAGACAGGGACAGACTTGCCTTGAATAGGTATCTTTAGCTTTTAAGTGTCAGACTTTACACTGCAACTTCAATAATAGGACTTGAAAATAAAGAATTACTAAGGATGGCAAGGAATTGGTGTAATGGGGGATTTGCCAGAAATAAAGAAAGCTTTAGAGAATGTGGTGAGAACAGATGGAAAGACCAGCCAGAACTACCACGGAGGTCGGAGGTGGGGCATCCAAAGAAGGGCTCTTCCCCAGGCCCAGACACCCAGCTCTAGTGTAGTGGTCACTGCTATGGCTCCATGTAAGGCAGAGAAGTCCTTGTGCTGTACTGCAGATAGAACTTGCTAGAACTCCACTTTAGGGTGCCAGGGACATCTGTGCATAGAAGATGTCTCACCTGGCATTGTTGGCTATGTGGGAGTCATCTGCATTGCTGCACTGAAAAGGGAAACCTGCTGCCTCCTACAGTGTTTCTCCATTGCCCTCTGCTGACAAAGCCTCAGGCCCAGCTGGTAAAGGAAAAACCGCTTAAAGGGCCCAGTTCTATTTTCACAAGACTGACAAATAATAAATCTGTATAACATGGACTGGGGATGTAGCTTAATTGGTAGAATGCTTCTATAGCATACATGAAATCCTGGTTCGATCCCCAGCATTGCATAATCCAGGCCTGTAATCCCAAGGCTCAGGAGGTGAAGGCAGGAAGATCAGAAGTTCAGAGTCATCCTCCACCATATAATGAGCTTGACCCTGTACAGCCACACCTCCACCAGCCTTGTGTAAGTAGGAACCCATGCTATTGAACCCCACTTCTCTCCATTGCTGTGTCCACAGGACTAGCTCTAGGGTAGGGCAAACACTGAGTTATCTTAAGTGGCTGTGCTGGCCTAGTCCACGATAGATGCCTGGTGCAGGAGGGTTGAGGGGGAATACAAAAGTAATACTTGGTGCCCACTCTTCTGTGTTCCCCCCTTAAGCCTACCCCAGTCTCCTCCTTTCCTAGCTAACTAATCAGCTGTTGTGGGCCACTGCTCAGGAGTGTATACACACTCTGCCCTCAGGTTGCTTTCTGTCCTGTATAAATACCAGTTGTTCTATTTGCAGATTTCCCATTAGAAAAGTTTTCTGATTACCTCTGACTGAGGCTATGAGTAAGTTCTGACAGCTGTGACAGAGAGAGGCAAGAAAGGTGGATTGGGTAGGAAGAATCTGAAGAAAGGACTAAGTTGATTGGAAGCCTCAAAACCAGAGCCATCCATTAGAGCAGCTCCAGGTCTCCAGGTAATACACACCTAAATAAGCAGCCTGGCTGAGGTAGGCATTTTGAGAAGGAACCCAACAGTGAATGCAGCAGAGGATACTGACTGATCATTAGCAGCTGGGCTGACAATCATCAGTAACGTTCTTAATAGCTGACCAGAAGGGGGGCGCATTTCCACAGCTGCCAAGTAGCTCCATCCTGTAACCATAAAACATCTTTGTGGAGCTGGAGAGGTGGCTCAGCAGTTAAGACCACTGACTGTTCTTGCAGAGGACCTGGGTTTGATTCTCAGCACCCACCTGGAGGCTGCAAACCATCCTTAACTCCAGTTCCAGGGGAATCCAAAGCCCTCTTCTGACCTCTGTGGCATTGCACGACACGGGTGCACTCACATACATGCAGGCAATACACTCATACACATAGTAACAAAATATTTTTAAAAAACATATATTTGCATATATTGTTACTATGGCTGGGGTAGTCGGGGGGGAGTGTTTAAAAATGCCATCTTGTGGTGCACTGAAGAACACCAGTCTGTGCAGTGCCATCTTGGAATTCTAAAACACAACTGCAAAGCTTCAACTTGAAGTTTTTTCTTTTCATATTTCTTCTGCACCCCTTGTTTACAAAGTCTAAACCAAACACAGACAAGATAGGCATACTAGTTGGGAATCTGGCTTGGTGGCAGTGGTTGTCTTGTGGGCAAGATTGTTTCTTCTTGTAAGGTGCTCTGTAGGTTAGTGTCAGCCTTGAGCAGCACAGCTGGGTCAAATGAACACATTCCTGCACACTGTTCATGGCAGTCAGACTGGCTAGACCCTTCTAGTACCCAAGCTGTCAGTGTCGACATTGCTTTCCAGGGAGAAGTTCGCACTCCTTGATCTAACTGGGTTCTACCACCTGTTTCCACCTGTGGCCTCCAAACTTGCCCTTTTTATTTTTTTTTTTAATTATTATTACTTATTGTTTTTAACTTCCCAGACTGAGAAGCTCAATTAGGTGTTTTCTGCTTTCTGTAGGGCACAGGTGAAGGTACACTGGGACTGTGGAAGAGTAATAAAAAATGATGGAAAACCTCTTGGTGCCTGGGAATGGCAAAGGCCCAATGTCAAGATCTGGGTGCCCAGGACCGTGTGGAATCAAGACCATTTCTGTCCATTAAGAGAAGTGGGAAGTCCATTCTTGAGAATCCTCCCAACACTAGAACCTCCCCTATCCCCAGCATAAGCCCAACGCAGCAGCAAAGCCAGTGCCATGCACAACTTGGGACCTCAGAGGAGGGGGTTGTGGGGAGTGCAGCCACTCAGAGAAGGCTAAACAGATGCCCAGCATCATAACGGGAAGTCCTCCTTCCTCCAATCTGCTCCACCATCAGTCCACCACCAGAGGAATGTGAACCGTGACTCACAGGGCTGGTGGTTGGAGACCACAGCTCCTGTTCACAGTCGGGGACAAACTTGCCCTTCTTGAGGTCATCAGTTCAATACTGTGAGTTTCCCCCTCTGATTGAGGACACATGCTGAGTTCTAACAACCTTTCTGCTGACTGCTTCCTGGAATCCCATCCATTGATCATTTCTGCTCTTCTGTCAACCCAGCAGAACTCTATGCACATTCTCTCATTCTCTTTTCTCCACGAGTTACGAAGTTTAGAGTCCAGTGATGTCCAGCTGCCTGAGTTCAACTCCTAGACTCTGCCACTTGCTCTGTGAGGGCTTTGAGACACTCACTGGCCAGATAGTGTAGGTGAGGTAGTGAACTCTAGGTTGGGTAAGAGACCTTGTGTCAATTTCAAACAACAACAAAACAACACACAAGAGGGGAGCAAACTCTAGCTACCACATGCCCAAACACAGGGGAGAGCACCTGCATGCTCCCCCTGGTTCCAGGCACATCTTGTCTGTGATGGTGCTAAAGATAGGAAACACTGTTAGTGTTACAGAAATGCCTAGAAGCCAGAGTTCCTCCGCGTGATACCAGAAGGGGCCACGAAGGGTGGGACTGAGTTCCAGATTCCTGTCAGATCGATCGCTCTAACAGAAAAAAGGAGGAAACTGGACTAGACTCCCAACCATCAACACAACACAACACCTCAAGTTACTTCAAAAGGAGGGATCTGAATCAGTAACAGGGAAAGTAGGAGGGCCAAAGGGCTTGCAAATTAAAAGCCTTAGTTGCTTTCACTAAACCTGGAAAAAACATCCGGGCAACCAAGTTGAAATAGAAGGAGCCTCCTATCACGAGAACACTAAATACCAAGTGAGCTTGAATGCACGTCTAGTACTAATGACTCGCGAGAACAGACTCAAACCCTAGACATTGACACAGTATTCTTTTTTTGAATCACCATTATTCCCCGAGGGGGTGCACCGTTCCTGGAAGTACTGCAATACCAGGTCGATGCGTGGAGTGGACGGAGCAAGCTCCTATTCCAACTCCTAACTCCAAAAATCCATTTAATATATTGTCCTCGGATAGAGGACGTATCAGATATTAAACTGATAAGAACAGATACTACACTTGATCTTAGCCAAAAGGCCGAGAAGCGATAGTTTCTTCTCCGCACTGTGCCTTGTCCTACGCCCTCGCCCCACACTAACATTGCGGTCACCCCTCACAACCCCGCGCTCCCGACTCCCGGCTCTCCATCGGGCTCCGGCGGCCTCACGGGCTCGTTCTCTTGCCCTCGGCACGCGTTCTTTTCTCACACTTTCTGCAAGAAATTTCACATCCCTGTCGACCCAGCGTTCCCGGGTGGGAGGCCTCGTCTCATTTGCATGTCCCGCCCGCCTGGGGGCGTGGTGACCCTGGGCTTCGCCCCTCCCGGCAGCCTCCGCGCGGCGTTCGGGTCAGGGTACTTCCTGTTTGGTCATGGATTAGCAGGAAGGGATGGAAGCTGGGGTTGGGTTGCGGAGCTACGGAGGAGGCCGGAGCCCACCTGGCGGACTTTCTCTTCCTGATTGTGGTGGAGAGGCCATTTCGCGCCATCGACCGAGGGTGGGCGAATGTGGTGGGCGCCGAGGGATTCTCGCCGCTGGGCCTGAAACTCCGGTGCTCCTGAACTCTAAAGCTGCGTCTGACCCCGGCTGCTCTCCCCTTCCTCCCCTGGTCACCTAGGCCACCGAACCGCGTGGGTGTCACCTCCTTCGCGTCGCCTTCCTCAAGACCCCCCCCCCGCGCACCCACCCCAAGCCTGATCAGAGGCCTTCTTATACATATTATGGCGCCCTGGTGCTTGTCGTAAGTTCACTATTCATCGTCCTTTGGGTAACGCCTTGTCTCCGGCCGTTGTCCGCTGTGGTATCTTCTGGGCCCTTGTGCGCTTAGGAGACGTTTGTCGGATGACTAACCCACGTGTGTTAATGTGCACACACCCAGAATCAGAAATTGTTTAGAAAACCCTGGCCCAAGGCAGGGGGCAAGGAGGACGAGGTGGCTGGTGATGGCAGAGCAGCAGGCAGGTGTTGGGGTCAAGCTTGCTGAGCGGTGGCAAAAAGTTTCTGTGACAGCATTGACCTTTCCCGTTCTTTAA